TAAATGGTATTAACTGTGCTCTTGGTTTTTCTGTGCTTAACTGTATATGGTTTTGTTTTATTGGCACTGTACTGTAAGCATATTCTGCACTATGCAAATATAAGAGCTGAGAAGCATATGGGCCGAATCCTGCAACATTCACTCAGGCAAATGGCCAATTCACTTGATGGGAACTTTTCCTGAGTAAGCAGTCGGAGCAGACTCTCAGCTCCATCGTATGCCTCGGCTTGTTTTCAGGTATGACAACAGAACATTGGTGCTTTGAAAGAAGGAAAGGAAAGGTATAAGACTCAGTACTGTGGGTAGATGCTTTGTTCTGTTCCTCTCAAGACTTAAGATCTACTGAGATGCCACAAAAGGCACAGTCAGCATAGAATGACTCTCTCCAGCCTTTAGCAGCCTGTTAAAATCTGCTAATTAAAGGAAAGACCCTTAGAAAAGGAAAGAGTCTTCAGAATGAGAAGAAAGGGGAGGTTTCGACTAGATATTAGGAAAAGTTTCTTCACTGAAAAGTGATCAGATATGGGAACAGGCTGCCCAGGGAAGTGAGGGAATCACCATCCTCAGAAGTGTTCAAAAGACTTGTGGTTATAGCACGTGAGGACATGGTTTACTGGCGGACTTGACAGTGCTGGGTCAACAGGTCTTTTCCAGCCTTAATAATTCTGTGATTCAATATGTGATAGCATTTCTCCATCCCCAGTCTGAACATAACCTCATGGTACCACTAGTGGAGCACTCTCTAGTCAAAGCAGCGAGATTTAAGCTGCAGGAATTCATGGAGTGAAGAGAAAGAGAAGGGAAATCCTGCTTTTGATAAAGAGCACCAGTGATTTCTGCTCCACCACCTTGTTCAAGAGCTTTGTCAGAGAGACATAACTCAAAGTGGGAACTTCAGGATTCAGCTCTGCATCCAGCTCTGGTTCAGCCTTGCCATCTATCACACAGGAATGGGGTTTCACCCTTTAACTGTGTAGGTGGCTAAAAGCTCTGTCCCATTTCCTGATCTCTCTCTATATTACATAGTCCAAGCTGTGGTGACAAGCAATAAGTTGTGGACTTCAGGTCCAAGACCTACAAAAGCTCACACAGGTGCTTTTGTTAATTGATTCCAATTTTGTCTACAATGCCCCTCACAGCTTGATATGTATCAGAGAAGCTGGATTTCTTTGATCTAGCTACCATGGGAACCAGTGCAGCACTGATGCTGTAGCACACATTTCAGCATGATCCCCACACGGACCCTGGTTACACAAGTGTGTTGAGCACTGGGCTGTTCTCAGTGTTAATATCATCCCTAATAGCTACACTGATATTAGCAGTGGTACCCATATTTTTCTTTCCCCTGCAGACATTTCTTTCAGCAGTGGCTGACTGGAAACTTAAGTTGTAGCCCTTACTCATGTCCCTCATCCTCATCCTCATGCACCTTTTAAACAAAATACCTAATTCAAATAGAGGCTTAAAGGTCAAATGTTCCAGACCTGGTTTTGCAAACCTTCTTATACATGACTTTTCCCCTTCTATTAAAAAAAAAAAAAATCTCATCAGGAAAGAAATGTTGGCAAAAAGGGTTTAATTACAGAAATCATTTTGCACCCTATGGAGAAAGCATGAAGAATGGCATATTTCCACATTTGAATTGCACATTCATCAAGAAAAGAGTGATTTCCCCTTAAGAATGTTCTGGAGGAGTAGAAAAGAGCATTGAACCCTGGGGTGTGTATTTTATAGTCTCTGAAAGGCAAATGGTTTCACTTCCATTGATTAAAATACATGGGTTTTCCCTCTGGATTATTCTCTTGGATGTAGAAAAAAAATTAAAATCTTTAGTAGTGGCTGTCAAGTAGTGCAGCCCCTTAGGAAATGTCTCCACTAAGGCAGAGGGCTCACCAAACCAACTGCTGCTGAACTTGGCCAGCAAGAAGCCTTTGACCACCAGATGTTGCTTTTTTTGTTGGATGAATGGGGACTTTACAAAATGTGTTTTCATTGTTTTGTTGGAGAGAATGTCAACATGGAAACACAAGCCGGCACTGGGAGCACCAGGTGTTAATCAGAGTGGCAGCTCCAGGATTTGCTGTCCTTGCTCTCCAGCACACAAGGTCTAACAGGCTCGTGCATTAGTCTTGTCATTCACCTTCTTGTCCCACAGATGTGGCTTCTTTACAAACTCTTCCAAACACTCTGTGGAGGAAAACTTGGCTCAATAGTCACTGATCTCAAGTGCAAAGTTGCTGGGGTGCAGGACACAGGCACAACGTGGCAGGCTGATGAACACTGATACTTTGAATGTACATCTTCATAAAATATGCTCCAAATTGGTATGCAGCACACTTCTGTGACCACAGTAATTCACTCAGAATTGAAGCAGGAGCAGAATTTTCCTAAGCAAAGTTGCTTTTTCCCATTAAATTACTATTGCTCTTTTCTTACCAGGAGCATTATTGTCTAGTTCTGTTAACAGAGAAAGGCCAATTACACAAACAGTGCTGACCTGTTAAACTTGAATTCACCAGCCAGAATTCAAATAAACAGCATTCTACTCCCCACTTGGATTTACTGATTTTCTCTTAATAATGTCACTTGAGTTTAAAAAAAAAAAAAAAAAGTCTGAGGTGAATGGGTATATCAGCTGAGTGTTTCAAAACTACAGGAAAGTAATGCAAACTGTAAGAGCACTAAGAACAAGAAAAAGAAAAAGTTATATGTAATTGGAAGAGAAGATGTTCCATTTCCTTTCTAAAATCAAATGCAAACTGCTCATGTGACTGATTTAGTATTGAACAAGAGGGGAAAAATTGCTTCTTGGCATTTAAATGGAAATGTTTCTTGTTCTGAAATTTTGGAAGCTTGCATACTGTATGATTTTTGAAAGGCTTATACAATTACCATTGAATTTGGATGAGGTCTATTCCTAACAATATATATATTTCTCAGTTAAACTTTTTCCTTCCGGAGACCTAAATTACCTTTGTCTAGAGTCTAGATTCCTGATGTGGAATATATTCCAGAGGTAATAAGGCCAATGCAAATACATTTCATTTTTAATATGTATGTCTGAAAAAAACAGTGAACAGCAGCAGCTGTTTTGCAATGCAGACCTTTATGTCGAGGGCTCTGCTGTTTCAGGGTGATGTTCTGATTTGCTGTCCACCTTTTTACCATTATTTCTGGATTTGGAATAAAACACAGATCATACCTCTTGCTTTCCACAAAGGCTAGAAATTTTAGGACAGAAGAAAAAGGCAGACCACAGCAGACTTGCACCTGGCTGATTTAAAGGTATGCCATGAAGAGGATGATTCCCGTGTAGCTCAAAGCACTGCAGGAAGTACTGCAGTCCATTATGTTCAGCACTCCTCTTACAATGCGGTGTTAGGGCTGAATCCAGTGTCACTCCAAGATTTGTGATGTCAACACAAATCCTGTAGAGAGTGTTGCTGAAAAGTTTTGTAAGAGTAAATTTTAAGGAGGGACTTGAAAGAGAAAAATGTGATTATTTGGTGAATGAGAAAATGATAGGCTGAGTGTAAATGGCAATGGGTGATATAGCCTGACAGGGATAAGTTATTGAGGACATGCCCAAGGTCAGGCAGTGAAGCAGTAGCAGGGCCTGACACTTAGCTATATCATAACCCTTTCTTTCTTCAGAGCACATTGAATAGCAAAATTAAATAGCCCTAAATTCTTGTCACTACTGTTAAAAAATATTAAAAAAGTATAAATCCAAACCAATGCACCCCCCCCTCCCCCCAAGAAATAAAAGGCAGAAACTGGTAGGATTGATCTTCTTCCTCAAGAAGACCTAACATTAAATCTTGCAGGCCTTCTTTCTGATAATTTGATTTTAATTACCAAACAGCACAATTCTGTAAAATAAGTTTTAAAAATAGTAATACTGATAATGATAGTGATGTCGTCTCCTGACACCATTGTGGTTGATGCCCCCTGACCCCAAAAGCAAGCTATTATGCAAGCTGCCTAACAAGAGGCACAGGAGAAACAGAGGTTTCCTCCTCCTTACAAGGTGTGAAACTAGAGCCCACCTGACCCCAGGAAGAGAGGGCATTTCACCATGGCCAGGACATGAAGGCACCGCCTGAGGCAGATCTCCAGTATCTTCTTGCCTCCATCCTGATCCCCACTCCATTCTCATGCTAAAGCCAATGCCATTCCAACCCAACCCCATGCCTAATCCATGCCCAAGACCAACCTGTTCCTATCGTACCCAAGCACATCCTCTCCTGTCCTTATTACCTTCACATTCTGATGTCCACACTTGATCCATCTCATCACCATGCCCATATCTCTCCATGCCCACATCATGTCCATCCCCTCCCCATAGCCCTGTCCATCCTCTCTCCATGCCATGTATGCCTGTGTGTATGCCCAAAACCCCTTCATGCCCATGCCATGCCCGAGCCCTTCTCCCAACGCCCATGCCATGCCTGTGTTTGTGTCCTCCCCTGATCCATGCCTATGCCACGACTGCATCATGCCCATGCCTGTGCCTATTCCCATCTCATGCCAATGTCTGTGTTCTCCCCATGCCCGTGCCATGCCTGTGACTATGTACATCCCTGGCCCATGTCTATTCTACCATCGTGACCATGCCCATGTCTGTATTTCCTCGGCCCCACGTCCCTGCCGTGCCCGTGTCTGTGTCCTCCCTGGCCCCATGCCTCTGCCATGTCCATGCCCATGCCATCCCATGCCTGTTCCCACCCCGTGCCTCTCTCCACGCATCCGCAGGCCGTGTCCGAGCTGTTCCCACGCCGCTGGGGTGGGCAGCCGCCAGCCGCATGTGCGCCTGTCATTCCAGCCGGGAGCGCCGGCTCCTGCCTCCCATTCATGTAACCTGTGTGTGTCTCTCTTTCTCTCTGTGTGTAACAGCGAGAGGGAGAGAGCGAGCGAGGCACGGAGAGAGGGAGGAGGAGGGGGGAAGCTTTAAATAAAGCCTTTGGATTGCAGCTGCTTATTTTGGGCAGTCCTACCAGGACGATTCCTGTCAGGAAAGAAGCTGGACCAGTCGCTGTTCTTTTTTTTTTTTTTTTTTTTTTTAATTTTTTTTGATTTTGATTTTTGGGGGTGGCAGCGGTGTATGTCTGAGCTGCCTGCGGAGATGAGCTCCAGTGCCTGCCTGTAGTTTCCACTTTGGGATCGCTGGACACAGAAGTGGCATTTCGGTGGGGGGAAGCTGCAGACATGGTAAGCTTCTCTTTTCCTCTGAAAAGTGTATTTATGCCATAGACCCTTCTTGAATTTTCCCTTCCCCCTTTCCTCTTCCCACCAAACAGCCAGGCACACAGGCTGGGGCTGGGGAGAAGCTCCCTGAATCCCTGGCTTTCCCTCCCCAGCATCCATCCTTCCCTCCTGCCCAGCTCCCTGCCCTCCCCTCGCACAGTTTGCAGCAATTCGGAGGGAGGCAAAGATGCTGCGGGAAGCTCCGGGCTGGGGCGGGGGGGGATCGGGCACCCCCAGACTGCCAAAGCCTCGCTTCAGGGTATGTTTGGAGTGGATTCTCCCATCCAACCTTCCCTCTCGCCGACCTTTCCCTCTGCACCCCGAGCGGTGCGGCTGTGCTGGGAGAAGGCAGCAGTGCAGATTGGGAGGCACTGGAGCAAGGATGCAGCTTTAAGATCAATCGGTGTTATTTATGTAATAGTAAAAGCAGGGAGGAAAGGAGGCAGAAAAAAATAGAATAGGAAAGAAGTGCCTTGGTATTTCTCAGCCCACAAGGCTCCTTCGGCTCTGTCTGAACCCCCCATACTCATGTCCTGCTGCAGGGTGGTGCGTGGTGGGAGTGTGTCTCTGTGTGTATGTTTACATTTGGATCCGTGCTAGAATCGGGGGTGAGGATGGGGTCTCCCATTTTCCAAGGAAAGGTGGGTTTGCCTCCAACAAAAAGCGAAAAAATGCGCTTGACTGCAAGTAGAGTGACAAGTCTGTTTCTTAGGCATTAAATGTTAAAGCCCTGCTTCCAGCCATGCCCTGCCTGGATTAAAAGATTGCCCAAATAGTGTGGTGTTGGAGAAAAGATGCTAGAGTGCCTGGAAGAAATGCAGTGGTTCAGACTCCTGTTTGTATTCTAAGCAATTTGCATTCTCAAATACAAATTTCGACCCGAAACCAGGGCATTTATTTCCTGGGATTTGTTTTGATTGAAAATATAGTGTAAAATATCTGGGACATTTTACTTCACAAGTGGTAGTTAAGAAATTTCTAAATCTTTAAAAAACAATAATTACCCCCTCCCCCACGCCCAAAACTCTAGAAGTAGTCACAAGGCAGTATTTATTTACTTTCTTATCATGACCACACTTAGAAATTCATGGTGGTTACAACCATGTAAGCACATGAGTTGAAAACAAAAACAAAATGAAACAAAACAAACAAACAAAAAATAACCCAAAAAACCAAAATCCAGCCAAAAAAAACATATTTATGCCACCGCCTTGTTTTATGGGATACACAGTCTGAAATACTTTTTTCATACAGCCAAAACAAAAATTACTAAATGCTCATCGAATAGATGGGCAAGACCTTTCTGCATCTTGAATACATTTGCTCATGGTTTTTCCTGGAAAGTTCAATCTCTTATGATTTAAAATTAATAAATAAACAAGGCAAAATACCGAACTCCTGAATCAAGCTAAAATTAGTCTCTCCTTTCTTTCTTATCTTCCTTTTTAACTTTTTGCAGTGAAGCCTCACCTTGAATTTAGAGCTGCATCTTTTTCTTCCCCCCCCCCCCCCCCCGAAAAGTCCCAGGAGAAGGGAGGGCCATAAAATGAGAAAATGAGAGCAAATCTTTGAAGTTTGAAGTTGTCTGTGTGCTTTTTATAGGTAAACTTCTGCTGTAGCCTGGCAAGTTGTTAGTGTGCTGCTCTTTGCTCTGGGGCGCCGGAGCTGGGCAGGGGAACTTGGCAGCTCCTAGCCTATCCCAATCCCATTTCTTTCGGCTTCACTGACCCTAATAAAATTGCCTACTAGTAGTGTAGTCCCTCCTCTTCTATGGAAAGTGCTCTGCTCCCAACATGTGCACCATATGTGCCTGCAACATTCAAGGCTTAACATACATTCACCTACAGCATGCCAGCATTCCGTGTATGCCACCCGCACTCCGGCTCTGGCAGGAGCTGGGGATTGGCCGTCGGGAACCCCAACCTCTCCCCTGGTAGCTGGGGGAGGCTGGGGCTGAGCCAGGGATTTGTATTTAATTTATTTCATTGGCCTCTTCAGAGCCAGGCACCTCCCACTTAGTGCCTCTGCCTGGAGCACTTTTGTGGGCTTGGGTGGAAAAAACAAGGAGTATGTGTGTGTATATACATATATATATATACATATATATATTTATATATTTAGTGTGGTGGGGGATAGCATAAAGGGAGGAAGACGCGTCTCTTGCACTGTTTTGCAGCGAGGCAGGACTTCAGAGCAGCTCACTCGGCTCTGCCTGTGTTACAAGGAATTTCCTCGTTTGTGGCCATTGCGAGCTGCCCGTCCTTGTAAAATTCCCAGCTCTGACTCCCAGCCACGCTGCTGGATCAGTCCTTGCCGAGTGGGCTGGTTTGCAGCCAGGAGAATTCTTTGCTGCCACGATCCCTTGAGAATGCAATCCCCAAGTCAGTGCACGGCCAAGAGAAGTGAGCTCTGTGCTAGTTTGCAGCCGGTCTGGAGGCAGAGAGGGGACCGTGAGGTCTCGGTGTGTGGCCGGGCATTCCCCAGGCACCTGGAAATGTAACCTGTGTTACACTTTCCTTGAAAGCAGGACTGTTGCTCTGCACCCACCATCCTGGGAAGGGGGTCTGCACACACAACTGGGGCAGGGGAGAAGGAGAGCTGCCTTTGCAGACAACCTGTTTCACGTTTTTCCCCCTTTTCCCCCTCAAAAAAGAATCCCCAAGATTGGGAACTACAGACACTGCTCTCAGATGCACTATATCTTTACAGGGACTCTGCCTCTGTGCCTCACCCTCCTTTCTCATCCATGCATGCATGAATGTGTTCACATCTTCACCGGGGATATTTTCAATTCATCTGTTATATGTGTGACCTGGAGAAGAGATGTCATGTTTTGGTGAAGAAAGAGGGTCGTTAATATGGAAAAATGTTCTCGGGTTGTTCTTTGGCAAGGAACAGGGTAAGAGGCAAAAGGAGATGCGGAAGTTTACTTCGTAGCTACCTTTTCTTATTAGCAAAGGGTCCTGGTTTAGAAAGGCTTTTCTGGGAGAATTTGCCTTCTCTAATTTTAAAGGATAGGGAAAAATCATGGAGAGATGGAGGTAAAGCTCTTCATCTGGTTTTCACTGGGCGGGGGGAGATAGTCCCCCCTCCCCCCGATTTAATTTACTATATGGATGGAAAAAGAGAGATATCTCTCTGATTTCAGTGGGTCTGGGGAAGGAGTGAGATTTGGGCTGAGAAGACTCTGCAATTTTAAATCCATGCAGCTTAATTATTTTCCTTGACTCATTTAAAATAGATGCTTTCCTTTTGTTTTGGTGAGCAGATAGTATGCTGGCAAGGGAAAATGTTATTTTTGTTTTACAAAGTGAATTTTTTATTTTATTTTATTTCTTTGGTTTCCTGGAGTGCATAATAACGAAATGTTATTTCATTCTGTCTACAACATGTACACAATTCCAATTAAGAGCCTACTCTGATTATTTTTAACCTGGTAGTTTGCCATTTCTCTGCTCAGGAGAATAAAACATTGAGTTCTTGCACTTTAAAATAGCTGAGATGCTTAGGCAGAACTACCTTTTCCCTGGGAAAGTCATTTCCAGTTCTCTTGAGTTCCCGCTTCAATGGTTCATTTTCTGACAGAATCACATCTTTACAAGAAGAAGAACTATGATCTTACGTAACTTGATGTTTCCAGATCAGAAGTTACAAATATTGCAGTAATACCATGAAGAGAGACATTTGACAGGAGGAATGTTGCGTGGCATATTTATTATTAGGATTTCAAATCAAGGAGGTTTTAAAAATTTATGGAGGGGAAAAGCAGAATTAAAAAAAGATGAATAAACAAAACCTTGCTAGTTTGGTATCTTTAACATCACTTTTCCCTTTTATCTTAACTGTGTAGACAGTTGAGATTTTATTTTTTCTTTTCTTAAAACAAACTCTTGCATTTAAGGAATGTGTAGTTGTAATTTTGAGAGATGAAGTAGCTTGAAACTCGCTCTTTCTCAGATTTGATTCAAAGAAATGAAACCCTGTAAATCAATGTCAATTCAGGTTTAAAGACTGGCTGTTACCTGCCCTGTTACAAGGTCCATCAGCATAGCTTATTGTAACTAAAAGCTAAAATACTCAGTTTCTGCTTTGAACTGACAAATTGGCGTTGCTGGGTACTTTGACAGAGTAACTTGCACCACTTGCCAGTGAATTGGGTATTCATGGATCCTTGACCGATATGTTTCAGAGAAAAAAGTTCTATAATGTAACATTTTTTTAAAAGCATAAGTATATACATGTATTTCCTCTTTGCTCTAGATTAAAAAGAAAAAGAATCACAGAGAAATTTATATCTTAATTATGTCAGCCTAACATGAGGAGTGGTGCTGCAGTGTGGTTATAGGACTTACAGTAGTCAGGAACAAATGTACAATTTTTATTCTTCTGTGCTGTTTCACCCTTGCTTCCCTTCATGGATAAATTATTTTGTTAGAAATATATATATATATATATATATATATTTTTTTTTTTTTTTTGTCAGGTTTTCTGTCTTTCCC